AATTGTGTAGCAAAGTAAACAATATTTTTGTAAAGGTCCGAGGCCCTAGAGCAGGAATCCTATAGCCCATTRTTTGGGCTAGGAACTTCATGTCCTTAAAAATGTTAAAGTGTGTATTTATTTATACCCTATAAAATCTATAAATAAATCCTAAAGATTTGCATAATCACTTAAATATTCTYTTAAAGTATACTTTAAAAACAAACAATTTTTTACTACACTTTATACCAAGAAAATATTTTTAATGACGCCAATAAAATATTATAAATTTATAATGAAGTAAAAAATATAATATATAAAATATTGTATGTTGTGTGTTGAAAAACTTAATAAAATATACTAAATCTATGTAAATTGATATTTATATCTTCAGACTTAAGGTATTTTTGAGATTTTTTATAGTTATTATAATTATTACCCAAATTAATAGTTATATTTATGTACACCATTGCGTGATTAAAATTAACAAAATCGTATCGTTCAATCGTTGGTTTAAAATGTATTGCGACAATAAATGTTCCGCTGACGAKGAAAACGCAACCCACACTAATTTCTATTAGGTTTATATACATAACATTGTTATTATATCAATTGAACGAAAAATTAAATTCTAATTTTAAAATGTATGTAAAATGTGCACTTAAAATGAAAATACAACAAAATATAATATACTAACACGTGATAAAGAGTATAAAATATACAAAAAGAAAAACACTGTTGACTCCTTCTGATTATATTATGAAACAGATTTCTATATCATTAAGTTATAATTTATTTGAATGAAAATTTGTAATCATGCAAATTCCATTGTCCTAGCCATGACATTTACCTTATTAAGCTCAATTATTTATTTAGATGACAGCTTATAATTCTCCACTCTCCTTATTGCAGATTTGAGATTTTAATCTATCAACATTAATAATTTGTAAGAATGTTCCTGATATCGGATCCTATGTTAGGTTATCTACTTTATTTTTCTGTAAAACCATTTTTTAAGGACTATTATCTTTAGTATAAACAATTTAATGACTGAGGAATCACTCATTAAAATTTTGATTTAGAAATATCAACATTTTAAAGCAATGCATCAAGACGTAWCAACATAATATTTTTCAGTTATGTAGGGTGGTTTTTGTATGAAAAACAGAAGATTGGACGCTCCGTAGTACAAAAAAAAWTTAAGAATTTGAAAATATAGTATGAGTATATTTAAAAATTTAAAAAATAAATAATAATTAATAAATTGTATATTAATGGTAAAATGATGGCGAATGCCTTGTAATATAAAGATTTTATGTGATATATAAAAACTGGAAGAAATTGTAAAAAATTTATTCCGGTACCGGGAATCGAACCCGAGCCTCCTGGGTGAAAGCCAGGTATCCTAGCCACTAGACCATACCGGATTGATGTAAACCTGAGCCAAGTCACATTATTTAACCAT